TTCTGATTTCCCTTTTAGTGCCTTTTACGGTAGCAGCATGAGACATCTTACTGGCTTCCAGAAGCTGCTCCAGACTTCTGAACCCTGTTGGAGAACGCCATCCCTCAAACGTCAGAGCTTTAGAGACCTCTGCAGAAGAAGGCGGCTCTGCAGAGCATGGATCACAGAGAGCGAGCTCTGCCTGGAAAACACAGACGGAGCACTGCAGCAGAAGAGTTCTCCACTCCGACCTGCTCCTCACAGGCACCTCCCTCAGGTTCAGGGAATGGGGCAGAAACGAGGCATCAACCCTTGAGAAGTTCGTCCCGCAAACGTCAGCGCCTAGTTCTCATAACAAATGCAAGGAAGCCCTTAGCCAGTCATCTTATGAATATGGAGGATCCACAAAGGAGATCACGGTGGGTGCACAGACTAGAGCAGCACTATGCAGTTGAAATCTGTGTGATGACATTGTACTGCCCAGTATGATAACTGCCGGCTACACATTGCTACCGACCACTTGAAATTTGGTTCAAAGGTTAAGAAACGGAATTTTAAATTTCGTTTTATTCAACTGTATTTTCATTTAGATGTTGGCATGTGGCTATTGTTATGTGCCATGGAGTAAAATTTTTGCTCAACAACATGTCCTGTGACAGAGTAGAACTGCCCTTGACGATTTTCTTGGCTGTGATCTTCATGAAAGGGGCTCTGGTGGCACAGTGCATAATGTATCATACTGCTAACGAAAAGTTTGATGGTTCACACCCATTGCCTCTCCACAGTAGAAAAAGAGGTAGTTTCCTCTCATACATAAAGATCTACCTCGACACCTGATGGAGGGTTGCAATAAGTCAGAACCAACAAATTGCCAGGTCTTTCTCATATGGAGCTGCTGGGTGGGTTCAAACTTCCAACCTTGTAGTTAGCATTAACCATTGCACCAACATGAGGCTACCACTGCTATCAGATCAATTCTGACTCAGAAGGGCCCTATAGAGCGGAATCAAACTGGTGACCGAATCTGTAGCTTGTTGTACAGCTTCCCCAAATGCCATGTATCTCCAGCAATTTGAATTCACCAGCGACCCCACCAGAGAAAGATGGAAAGTCTCCTCTCACTATGATTTACAGTCTTGAAAGACTGATGAAGAGTCGCTATGAGGTGGAATCAACTTGATGGCAGTGAGTGAATGATAAGATTTCTAAGGCCGGAAATCTTCAGAGCAGCTGGCTACCACATCTTCTTCCATGGAGCAGTTAGTGGGTTCAAACTGCTGACCTTCCGATTAGTAGCCTTACCCACAGCTCTACCAGAGCACACAGTGGCTTCCACATTGGATCGTCTGGTACAGATCCTAGAACCAGCCTCTTGTGGCTTCACATCCTGGTTATTCCACTTACCTGTTGTGCAACCTTGAAGGACTAAATTCCTCTACATCTCCAACCTCCCATCTGAAAAATGGAGATGATAGTTGTACTTTCCCTCACATGCTGTTGGGAGGTTGACATTAAAAAATCGACATAAAGCACTTTGTCCACCACAAGACAAAGAGTGCTCTGGATTGTGCTTTTTTATTTAATCTCTCTACTTTTCATGCTCCGTTGTATATAAGGTGTTCAAAGGCCTATTATTTCAGAAGTGGATGGCCAATCCTTCTTCCTAGTCTGTCTTAATTTGGATACTCAGCTTTTAAACAAACTCTGACAGACAAGTATTTTACCAAAAGGAACAAATAAAGGACATTTCCCAATTACAGAACTTAATAGATTCAGTGTCAGTCCTTTCCTTTGGCAAGTATGCATTGGTCCTGTCACTTCCTTGCTCCTCCAGCACCCCCTTCTCCACTCCCACCCCTTCCCTTACTCCACTCTACCCAGCCAGCCTGCACCTTCCTTCCCTAAGCCAACTCTTGATAAGATGATCCAGGCCTAGGAAGTCACTGCCATGATGCCTCAATGCCTCTCACCTTACACTTCTGCCAGTCTTCCATATTTCTACCAGTCTCTCGTGAGGAGGCTCTGAAACCTTGGAGGCAAGGATTTTGAAGCTCCATCTCACATACTTTGGGCATGTGGCCAGGAGGGACCAGTCCTTGGAGAAGGACATCATGCTCAGAGGGTGGAGGGACAGCGCAGGAGAGGAAGACCTCGGATGAGATGGATTAACATAGTAACTGGGGCAGTGGGGGTAAGTGTGTCAAAGACAGTGAGACTGGCTCAGGACAGGGCAGGCATCAGAGCTATTGTACATAGGGTCGCTATGAGTCACCCGTGATGCTTCTACACATGACAAAAACAACTACAACATTCTTCATGCAGTGGAAACTTTCAGTTCTGGGTCAAGTCAGGGAGTCTGAAGGGTTTCACAAATGTACCAAACATTTTACCTGTAAAAAAAATGTAAGTGGTGCCTGTCTTGGCCTCGTCCTTCCTGCAGATGTAGCCATTGCAGAGCTGCAGCCAGCAGCTGAATTCACCCGTGTCTGCCGCGGTGGTGTTGACCAGGATCAGCTGGCCATAGCGCTCGTGCTGCTTCACACTACCAATAAAAAGAGAAAGACAGAGGGGAAGGTAAGCCAGGCCTTAGCCAGCACCCTGCAGCCAGCTCACTGCTCCATTGTTCTCAGACATAAACACCCACTGACTTGGGTGGAGGAGAACGCTCTTGAAGACTGCACATGGAACAAAAGCGTGTCTGAGGAAAGGGGGAGGGGGCGCGGAGAGAGACGCTTTTCCTAAAAGGAAATAATAAACGTCAATTGTGTTTCCCAAAGATAGGAAATTCTCCTTGACCTCAGAACTGGGGTTTCCTTAAACAAAAGCACTGGTGCATTAGCAAGTGGGGCACAGAAGTCAGCCAAAATGCCTTGGGCTGATATGCTCTACTAAAAGGAATTTATTTAAACAGCAGCCAGGAAAGCATACAACATGATCTACGATCTAAAAGCCATCAATTTAAGGAAACTCAGAATATAAACTTGGACTCTTAAGGGTGTTGCATACATTGTTATATTAAAATTCTAAAACTTGTCTTTAGGCAGCAAAAGAAATGGATTGGATGCTAAGATGCTGATCCCCAAATATGCATTCAACACCTAGCAAAGTGTTTGAAGCACTTGAACATGTAGAATTTTTCTCTGGCTTCATCCTGTTATTTTTATTCCTGTTTATTTTCTGTATGCCATCTCTTGAGTTTTTATATTAGCAAATCCTTTCAGTTCCTTTATGGAATGAGGAGAGTTATAGGTAAATATTTGTTATTGCTTTTATCAAACACTAGCATTGATGCAGCTGTAATGGGAATTAATTGTACTGTATCGTGACAGGATTCCAGATGTCTCATCTTTGGGACACACAGTCCCTTGCGATCTCTGCATTTCAGCATGTAAAGAAAAGGTGACAAGAGAAATGAAATGATTTGATGTTGCATCTCACATAATCAAATGTTGCACTCCTCTGAGTCCTGTGCACTTTCTGATGTGATTGAAATTCTCCTCTTTTATCTTACATCAATGCCAATATTGTCCACTACTCTAAATTTAGTACATAGCAAAATGTCTGGCTTGTTGGCCCCAATCACAGCCCTGTTTGGGTTCACTGCTGAATAGATGTCATGCCCACCAGCCAGTTCTGCCAAGCGGTGCCTCTGTACTCCCACTTCATCAACTGCCTCCTTCAAACTGAACGGAAATCTCTCCCCCTTCAGGAAGCTTCTAATTAGAATCTACTTTCTCCCGATGATGTAATTGGCTGCCCTGTTCTGCCTGGGATGTTCCTATCTTCCTGTTATTATACTAAGTGGTACAAACTTTGAGAGAAAATACTCTTTTTCATATTTGTTTTACAACAGAAAACAGCAGGAATTCACTAAACAGGATGAGTGGAATTGAACCATAGCACTGAAATGAGAAAGAACCTTGAAAAGCAGATTTCTTGTTCTCTTTTGCAAATGAGGAAACCGAGTCTTAGCAAAAGTGATTTCCATAAGACCTATCAAGTAAAAAACCTAGATGTTAAGTACTTAAAATAATATCTGGCTCATAGTATTATTCTAATGAATAAAAATATAGATGAATAGTAGTTATTATGGATACTACTGCTACAATGGCAAATAGTTTATAGACAGACAGCACAGCAAAGAAAAACCAGTCGACAGTGAGCATACTGCATTTTTACATATTTGATATACCCTATGTAGGCAGCAGAGCACTGGTGGCCTAGTGGCAAGAAGATGCACTGCAATCCTGAAAGAAAGGGGTTCAAATCCACCAGCTGCTTCACAGGAGCATGATGGATAATCTCCTCCTGTGTGCAATTAACTGCCTCTGAAAACCTGCTGGAAGGTCAGCAATGGGTCAATTCCGACTCTGGTACACAGCAACATATAGGCAGCAGTGGGGCAACTGAGGGCCCTGGCCATCAGAGCAGAGGCCTGCTGGCAATGGAGTGGGAACACTAGGCCCACAGGCCTATGCCAAGAACCAGTACCAAAAATCTAGCTGTACTTTTGTCAGTGCCAAAAGCCCCACCCTGGACACCATCCTGCCACACCACTATGGACCTCAATTGTGGTCTGAAAAGGGTGTCCTGTGCCATATCTGTATGCCTGGTCATCTTTATAGTTTGTAGAGGTATAATACTTGTCTGTCAGTTTGGTTACTGGAAAATTATTTTCATATTGTCAATTACGTTACACCTTAGATATGTATGTTGTTATTCGTCAAGTCACTTGGGACTCATAGCGACTCTATGTACAACAGCCCTCTAGCCTCCTCTATCTTGTACTAATCTTATTTTCTCTGACATCCCCACCCCCATGACCCCAGTCACGGAACCAATCAATCTCATTGAGGGTCTTGCTCTCCTGTGCTGTTCCTCTATCCTCCCAAGCATGACGTCCCTCTCCAAGGACTGGTCCCTCCTTGCAACATGTCCA